ATGTATGTACCTTGAGCACCGGTTGGGTGGAATACACCGTCATCCCTTTCAAAAGGTGGTGGAATATCCAGATCTTCTCGCCATGGCCCGGCTGGAAGTCTGGCTCGACCCTCTGCCTCCGCTTCCGTCTGGTGTGGTTGAGCCGCACGGCCGTCCGCGAGACTGAGACGCCGAGCGACAGCTTCTCGAACTGCCTCGTTACCAACGCATTGAGACACAGAGACATGGTTGTGGTGGTGTGGGTGTTGGTGCCCCTCCCCTCGCACCTGTCTTGGTGTTTCGTTTCGTTACGTCGTGTCGCAGGCCGTGAAGCTCGGTCGGTCGGTCGGTCGGTCGGTCGGGGGTCGTTGCAATTGATTCACTGAGTGACGGGACAGACTGACAATCCAATCCAATCCAATTCGAGTCCAATCCAATGCCTCCCAAATTTCCGATTAGGAAAATCGATATCGAGCTCGATCGGCGACCCACCGCGAGATCCAATTGCGGTCTCTCAACCTGTCGGTATTCGAGAAATGCCGATCCGACATTTTGCCCTGGCACCTGCACTGACAGGGTGGGCAGGGCTGGCACACTCGTGAACACCTGCAACGGCGGGTTCCGATAACTTTGAACGCTGGGCACCTGCAGTCAGCCCAGCAGGCTGCAGCTGCCCGGAGCTTGTAGCCCGCTTGTGGAGAACCAGTCTGCTCTGATTGGCTGGTGCAGCTACCAGTCATTGTCATCTTAGTGCGATCTCTCAGGCGCACGAAACGCGGGAGCTGAGCAATGTGATTGGGCAGAAGCCGCCTAATCAGGCAGTGACACAGTCCAGGCTTGCCGCACCTGCTGCACTTGAGGCACCTCAGCACCTGTTGGCGCAGTTGGAGGCTTGCCCCACCAGCACCCGCTAGAACCTTCTTCTACCGGGGCGAAGCTTCCTGATTGCTCCTGATTGCTCCCGATTGCTGGTGAATCGCCGCCTATGGGCCTATGATGCAGTATCGAGTGATGTATCTCCCTGTATCTGCCTGTATCTAGCTGTGTCTAGCTGTCACGTCTAGCTGTGTCTACCTGCGTCTAGTGCTATCAGGAAAGGTCCCGAAGCCGCTGAAAAGCACTCGTACGTCCATTAACTTGCTGGCACCTGCTTTCGACGTCCATGGAAGACTTTCTCGTCACTATCGAATGGTCTGGCATGCGATACTCCCCACTATTGCCTTCTTCCATTCTCCAAGGCACTTTCCAAGGCAGAACCTCAGGCAGAAGATAAATAAGCCTTGTGTCTCACAATTCTCTGATTCTCCCTTCCTTTGTTCACCAGATCTTACGAATTCCACAACAGAAAACAGAGTATTCTCTACACATACAATTATACCCACGCGATTCTTGTCTTAAGCGACCACATCAAACACACACTACCCCATTACTGAAACTCATATTTCTCACACGCCAGACAAGACACATACTGCAAACCAGAAACAACACAACACACTACACCCCAAAACACCGCCAAAATGAATTCCCGCATGGAGTTCACAGATCGGGCCAAGAAGGCCCTAGAGGATGCCATGGAGTTGGCACAACAATATTCACATTCCCAGCTACTACCAGTACATCTTGCAGTCTCCCTACTAGATCCCCCGCCGGATCAGTCCAAGGACCAGCAGAATGGCCCGGCACCTTCACAAAGTCTCTTCAAGCAAGTCATTGAGAGGGCCCATGGTGACCCGCAACTGCTTGACCGGGCACTCAAGAAGACCTTGGTCCGTCTGCCCAGTCAAGATCCACCGCCAGAGACCGTCTCGATGGCATCATCATTCAGCTCCGTCCTCAGAAAAGCACACGAGATGCAGAAGACACAAAAGGATTCCTACATCGCAGTGGACCACCTGATCACTGCACTCGCCGAGGACCCCGCCATCGGGGCTGCCCTGAAGGACGCCAACATTCCGAAACCCAAGTTAGTCCAGGAGGCAGTTCAGACGATACGCGGCACCAAGAGAGTAGACTCGAAGACTGCAGACACCGAGGAAGAGCACGAAAACCTCGCCAAGTTTACCGTCGACATGACTGCCATGGCACGGGAAGGCAAGATCGACCCTGTCATCGGTAGAGAAGAGGAGATCAGACGGGTCATCCGCATTCTATCCCGACGGACCAAGAACAACCCGGTTTTGATCGGTGAGCCCGGTGTCGGCAAGACGACTGTGGTTGAAGGTCTCGCTCAGCGGATCGTCAACGCCGATGTCCCAGACAACCTGGCGGCCTGCAAGCTGCTATCCCTGGATGTCGGTGCCTTGGTAGCTGGAAGCAAGTACCGGGGTGAATTCGAGGAGCGGATGAAGGGAGTTCTGAAGGAGATCGAGGACTCCAAGGATATGATTGTCCTGTTCGTCGACGAGATTCACCTACTCATGGGTGCTGGATCTTCTGGCGAGGGCGGCATGGATGCTGCCAACCTACTGAAGCCCATGCTGGCCCGTGGACAGTTGCATTGCATTGGTGCAACCACCCTCTCTGAATACAGAAAATACATCGAGAAGGATGCCGCTTTCGAGCGACGGTTCCAGCAGGTCATTGTCAAGGAGCCCAGTATCCCTGAGACAATATCCATTCTCCGAGGTCTGAAGGAGAAGTACGAAGTCCACCATGGTGTCACCATTGCCGACAGCGCCATTGTCGCTGCTGCCAACCTCGCTGGCCGATATCTCACATCGCGGCGTCTACCTGACTCAGCAGTAGACTTGATCGATGAGGCTGCTGCCGCTGTCAGAGTAGCTAGGGAGTCGCAACCAGAAATCATCGACTCTCTAGAACGGAAATTGCGGCAACTCAGAATTGAGATTCACGCTCTGTCCCGCGAGAAGGATGATGCCTCCAAGGCTCGTCTCGAGGTCGCCAAGAAGGATGCCGAGAATGTCGAGGAGGAGCTACGACCTCTCCGGGAGAAGTACGAGAGCGAGAAGCAGCGCGGCAAGGATATCCAGGAAGCGAAGATGAAGCTTGACCAGCTCAAGGTCAAGATGGAGGATGCTGCCAGAATGGGCGACCATGCAAGGGCTGCTGATCTCCAATATTACGCCATTCCCGAGCAAGAGAATGCCATCAAGGTGTTGGAGCGGGCAAAGGCCAAGGCTGATGCCGAGGCTGTCGCTAACGCTGCCAACGATGACAGCAGCGGTGCGATGATCACGGATGTGGTCGGACCGGACCAGATCAACGAAATTGTGTCGCGGTGGACAGGCATCCCCGTTACTCGACTCAAGACCTCCGAGAAGGAGAAGCTCATCCACATGGAGAAGGCCTTGGGCAAGTTGGTTGTCGGTCAGAAGGAAGCCGTCCAAGCTGTCTCAAACGCCATTCGATTACAGCGGTCTGGACTCAGCAACCCCAACCAGCCGCCTAGCTTCCTGTTCTGCGGTCCATCCGGAACAGGTAAGACGCTACTTACCAAAGCACTTGCTGAGTTCCTGTTCGACGACCCCAAGGCTATGATTCGGTTCGATATGTCTGAGTACCAGGAGCGGCACTCGCTCAGCCGAATGATCGGTGCTCCGCCCGGATATGTCGGACACGACGCTGGCGGTCAACTGACCGAGGCTCTCCGTCGGAAGCCGTTCTCCATCCTACTTTTCGATGAAGTGGAGAAAGCCGCAAAGGAGATCCTGACCGTCATGCTGCAGCTTATGGATGACGGTCGTATCACGGACGGCCAAGGTCGTGTCGTCGATGCCAGGAACTGCATCGTTGTCATGACCTCCAACCTGGGTGCAGAATTCCTCTCGCGCCCATCAGGCCGGGACGGCAGGATTGACAACACGACCCGGGAGCTTGTCACGAACGCTCTACGCAACTACTTCCTGCCCGAGTTCCTCAACCGGATCAACTCGATCGTCATCTTCAACCGGCTCACGCGCCGCGAAATCCGGAAGATTGTCGACCTGCGGCTCACTGAAATCCAGAAGCGGCTGTCAGACAACGACCGCAACGTGCTCATACAAGTCTCGGACGAAGCCAAGGACTACCTGGGCAATGCCGGTTACTCGCCCGTCTATGGCGCCAGACCACTGCAAAGACTCATCGAGAAGGAGGTGCTCAACCGTCTGGCTGTGCTCATCCTGCGCGGTGCCATCAGAGACGGCGAGGCCGCCAAGGTCGGCCTTGTCGGCAACAAGATCCAGGTGTTCGCCAACCACACCGAGAGTGATCTGAGTGAGGAGGATGACATGCTCATCGACGAGGAGGATGCGGCAGAGGATGTTGCCGGAGAGGATATGGACGAGGACATCTACGATTAAGGGGTTCGCGAAAGAAAAGTATAAGAACAATGATGAGGAATGATTGATGATTATGGGACATTGATGCCTATTGTTTCAGGAGCATGTCAGAGCAAAGTCACGGATAGGGTGTCTCAATAAGGGATTGGTATCTACCGGTTTAGCAGGCGTTTTGGGAGCAAAAATGGACTAGCATTAGCTAGCTTTTAGTGCATCTATGATCAGTTGATCATAATATGATTTGCATTGCTTTCAACAGTTCGACAAGTCTTTATCGTGAACTACAGTGAGTATACAGTATACATGTCTTATCAGTGGATAATAGTGTTCGCACACGTTAAGCTCACACAATAAAACCCCATTTCACTGAGTAGCAAATCTATGGAGTTCTACTCTTCTTGTCACCAAAGCAACACTTCATACCATATAATATAACATTCTTAACTCAACAGCTAGACTAGAGTCATAAGAATAGAATCCAGCCCTTGAGAAAACATGATATCCTTAAGTGAACTTATCGTAGGCATTCACTCACCCAACGCCACCCAACGCCATCCAACGTCAATCTATACCCAGACCCACAAAGCTACATAGTTAGGCCGCTTCCGATCTATCTCTCCATCTATTTATCTATCCGTCTATCTATAGATCCCTCCCTACGAAAATATAGTCCTCCGTTAGACGCAATCGTCTCAACCATTAGGTAATCAAGCAGCTCAGCTGCTTTCACATTGATTTCTTTCTCGATTCGTCTAGTGGTTAGGATACCTGCTTGTCACGATGGCAGCAAATCGCAGGTGGCCGGGGTTCAATTCCCCGATCGGGAGCTTCCTTTGCAAAAGTTCATTTTATTTGCCCGGATGGTCTAGAGGTATGATTCTCGCTTTGGGGTTTGATTGTATGCTGCATAATACCTGTATTGGTTTATGGATCTTACATTCTTCTGTATGCGAGAGGTCCCCGGTTCGATCCCGGGTTCGGGCCTAGTGATAGCTTAGGAGTTCCTTGGGAAGGAACTTGATTTTTTAATTTTTAATTTTGTTTTCTTTCTCACCTTGTGTGTATTATTGTATCATGTATTGTGCTCTCTATGCTATCTATATAGTTGTTGTGTTTTGCCTAGCCTTTACCTCTTCGGTTATCCCATGAAGACGAAGATAGGGGCGAATCCCTTGCTGGGGTCGACAACGATATCCCGCGGTTACATACAAGAAGCCTGAAGTTCAATTTCCATGAACAGATCTAATGAGCTCAACCCCTGATCTCATAAAATCACACGAGTATATGAATATATTGACTAGTAGACCACTAGACCACTGTCTCTCCTAGACTGCGACGTGACGCCGAACTAGATCGTTGATTTATTAGGAGACGGCAGACATGCTTATTGTGCGAAAATCATCTTACCAACAACGACCCGTCCTTCCCCTTCCCCTTCCCCTTTTCGATGACATCGACTCATCGTCAACTATGTGACTGAGACGCACCGGCACCCCCGTCACCACTATCGCCCCCGTCAATCATGAAGTCGCCGTTCTCGAAATGCCCACCCTCCGCCCTGTTTCTTGTCCCCGCTCATACAGCGCCGCAAACCCCAGCACCATGTACACGCTCAACATCGAAGGCCCACCACCACCACCATCGCCGCTGCCGCCTCCCAACAGCTGGCCCCCGCGCATCAACCTCACAACACGATCATTAACCAGCATCTCTCCAAGGACCTCGCAGCGAGGACCCCCATCCTGCGGATCGAATAGCCACAGCGCATCTTCACAGCATCACCACCACCAACACCACGACCATAGCCATAGCCATACGCATATACCCATAATCCGGGACCGCAGCGACGCTTTCCCAGCGCAAGCCGGTGCCGTCCGGAAGCACGCCGACCTAGCAGCCCCATACCTTTACCGAGGGATCCCTGACGCGGCCGGTCCAGAAGCTCTCTCTTCTTGGGCATTTCGGCCACCACGCGCGTGGACTGGCCCGCCGGGTCGAGGAGCTGCACGTACGAGCTTGTTAGCTTCACGTGTGCACTATTCCCATTGGCCGCGCGGAACCCAACCTCGGCGCTTTTCTCCGGATAAGTTGCCGTGGCGAGCAGGGGGCCCAAGCCGGCGTCTAATCCGCTGTGCAGGTTAAGGGGACAAGTATGGAGCTTGGCGGAGAGGATGGGGGCTGCTGCGAGGAGCGGGGTGATGGTGGGGGGAAAGTATCGTGGTTGCGGTGGTGGTGGTGGTGGCAAAACCCGTTATGGTAGGCAGACAGGGAGCGAAGGTAAGACTCAGTTAGATCTTGTGAAAGAAAGCAAGAGGGTACGAATCCCCACAGCAGAGGTCTATCATGATACGGACTTATTCTCGCGCCATCTTCATCAGCGGCAGCATATTGCAATGTCCAACAAGAGCTATGCGGCCTCGTTTGGGTCCGCAAGGGACTCTTCCTGTCCTTCCCTCTTGGTCTCGCGCAATGGGAACTAGGCCAGAATCGAGCTTCCAGACTGACGAGCATGAGCCCAACGCCTAGCAAGAATCCCTCGGGTTCAGACCACTATGTACCCAGACGGACGTGGTTGGGCCGTTCGAAAGCACGACTGGCCCAATCACGCGTACTCGTTCGATCGAGTGTAGCTCAACATGACGACGCTTGCGAGTCGAGCGTAGACAGGCAGCGAAGGCCTATGATCCGAAACCAAGGCGCAACCATCGTCGCAGTTCGCAATCGCTCCTTCCAGCCTAAAGGCTCACATGCTGTGCCGATGACAAATGCACATCAAAGACTCAGAAGGCGTTTGCCGCCCAACAGCCAATGCATGGAGACACGGCGACACAGCAGCGGATCTGGCTCCAAGGTCGAAAGGCAGCGAGCGACAGTGGCCCAATTTCACCGAGTAATAGATCACGAGTAATAGATGATCAGGTAGAGCTCCATGCACACACACACACCACGACTCCCCGGCTTGCATGCGGCGGTCAGGTGATGATTCCAAACCCAACGGATTCCCCTTGGGCTGTTGTTGGCAAACCTCTACGTATGAGGTCACAGGGCGCAAGGCATAGGATAAGGACAGCCTTGGATGGGATGAAACGTGGGCAGCTTCCACCTCATGTTCGTTCGTTCGTGTACGTAGTTGGCGGCGAATTTGCGATGCGGAATCCCAGGATCCATCTTTCCAGGTTATTACCAATGAATTGCAATGAGGGGGTGTGGCTGGGTATTGAGGCAGCCCGGCAGTCGAAAACCCCCCCAGAACCCCTCTATTCTTCTATAGAACCCCTGGCTTGGTGCTTTTGGCTTTTTTGCCTGTTTTGCAGTCTGCAGCAGTCTGCAGTCGGGTTCTGCTTGTTTTAGATCGGCTAGCTAAGCTCCGATTAGCCGCCCCCACATTGCCGCTTAGGGACGAATCTAGAGCGTGGAACATGGAGTTTTCAGCTCGGAAGGGATTTCGAGATGCATATTGTACGTCAGCGAGGGCCCGGTAGAGCGGCCATGATGGCCCTAAGAAGCGACCTTCGTACCTGAGTATCTTAGAAACCACCTAATAACGACCTTGGTAACCACCGAACAAGCTACCAACATGCAGCATCTCTGACTCTCTTCGCCTCTCTACCCACCAGTCTGCAGCCAGTCCACCAGCCCACCTGACGCCACTCCGGACGGGCGTGCGTGCGTTGTCGAGGCTATCGGGCTGGGCTATCTATGCAGGAACAGGAGGCCTTCTTGCCTCACTTGCTCAAGTGGAAACGTGGAAACGTGGAAACGTTAGGTAACATTAGGTTGCATGTCCTATTACATATGCAAGTATGCTGGTATGGCATTGGGTCAAGATGAACAAGATATGTCGTATCCATATCGTACTATGGAGCTCATTATATCACGTACGAATTACGAAGTATCCAGAGTATCCAGAGTATCTATACCGATCTAGCAAATTAGGTAAGAATGTGGGGGAGAGCAACTGGGGCTTGCCCTTCGCCATTCGTGAATGCCGAAATCTCCATTTTAATACCAGTTTAATACAGCTGCGCCACACAAGTAGGCAAGGAGCCACGTCCACGGGTCTTTGTACAATACATCCGTACCCAATTCATACTTACTAAGGTATGGTACAGTCTGTCAACTATCAGTTAAGTGAAACTCAGTGGTATTGAGTCTCCCTTATAGTCGATAGTCGTTTGAAACGTTACAAGCCACTTGGTCCGGACAACGCATTCCCACCTTATTACCTACCACCTCAACCACCTCCATCTTTCGCCTTGTTTAATCGTCTATTTGAGTGGATGTCGTCGGGCCCGGGCCGGTCACTAAGTAGGTAGGCTTCCGAATACGACTGACTCATCGAAGACGGGACCAACTTGCAAGTTGCAGCAGTGCCAAACCACCTGCAAAGTCTTCCCATGCAGCAAGCGACCCCGAAAACATGTTCGCGCGCTCCCCCTTACGGTCCCCACGTAGGACAAGAGACCGCAACCAAGGCCCGGCCAGTCGCTCCTCGCCTCGCACTCTTAGCTGAAGCTGATATACACAAGGGAGGCATACCGTTTCGGTATTGAGGTAGGTAGGGAACACGAAGTCGAACGCAACATTCCGCTTCTCCGTTTTCTCCAGATGGCATGCACCCCCCTCCCATCGTTGTGTCTGTCTCCTGGACTGGACATCGAAGGGGGCCGTCGATCCCCGTCGAATCTTGCCCCTATTGCGCGTCCCTGCAGTCAACTGGAGATGGTCGCGCCTGTTCTCAGGACAGGAATATGCAGGAATATACTTTTGCATTCACGTCCCGCTGGTGAGAATCGACGAGCGAGCGCTATGTCCGCATATCCGACCCACCATCTCGATTCTCAGCGCTTACTCTTACGCCTTAGAGCTATAGTTGTTAGTTGTGGCGCTAGTATAGACGACGATGCTGTATTCGTATGTAAGAAAGCTATGTATCATACAGGCAGGTAAATCCATTAAGCATTCCCGGTTATTGCCACGCTTATTGATTGCTCGAGTCTCCTATGCAACCTCGAGCTGCCGTTTGTCCTCTTGTAAATAATAGGCTGCTAACTGGAGTTGAACCGTTGAACGTTGTCGATGAGCGGATCGCGGAGCTGGGGCTAGGTGTGTAGTTCAGATTCTCTACGAGTCTTCAATACCAATCTTCTCCTGTCTCTTTCTATCGGCCTACTTATGCCGTGCTTAGCCAGGGTCACATGTAGTCAAACTATCCTCGTATCTATCCCTAGATGACCGTATGTATATCTTTAGTTAAGTAAGTATTTAAGCCTCGTCTGTGTTTTGTGTTGCTTGAAGGCGGCAAAGAGCGGATGCGGGGATGCCGCTAATAGCCTTGCTTCCTTACTTTAGGTACCATTAATAGTACTTCGTAGACGAAAAGGGAGAAAAGGTGTATAGTCGACCTTCACATACGCGCCACACACTTCATATCCTAGTGTATACACATGTGCCTCAAGTAGCCTGTACTAGGCTCAACTAAGATCTCCCAGATATCTACAGGGCATTTTCACCTATTACGTGCAAGTTGTGCAACTGTGATATGGGTAAAGAATACCCCGACATTCCTTCCTATTTCTATAAACCTGTGAGACTTGAATCCCCCCCATAGCTATATCCAAATGAAACATTTCCCCATAATCCCATTGCTAACCGAGACTCCCCTGCGCATCACAAACCTGCTTCCATACCATACCTATAGAACTGGATTGACCATCTGATACTGTACTTGTATCTTCGTGGGTTTTCTGTGGCTAGAAATTGCCGAGAAGATATATGTGCACTTGCATACACTACAGGTATAGCATGTGATTCTGAACGACTTGGAGTCAACAGTCTAACGACGTGATCCGCAATTTTCTGTATCTGGAACGCACCCCTTTCATCTTGCACTCACACCCCGGGTCATACTATACTATCTACCTCACATAGGGCTACAGTAACCTCAATCAGCACTCTCGGATTGGCTTGCGGTACGATTATAG